ATAATGATGAATGTTGAGGGAGGATGTTCTTATAGTCTTCAATCCCATTTTTCAGGTGTGTGTTCCGCAAAACAAGCCTCAAAAACCGACCACTTCACCCCCACTAGCGAGCAAAATGAGGAATTATTTTTTTCTGCAAATTTCAGCCTCCGTGGCCGCGACTTTTGAGTGCAGAAAAATCCTCGCGGCTCGCGATCCCCTCGCGACTGCAGTGCGGGCTTCACGTTTTAGGCTCGTTTGAGCTCGTCCAAACTCGGAATTGAGTTCTGTTTTTTGCTATGCGTTGCCAACGAAGCCTCCTACGCAATTATGCTTTCAAAATTCAACTTTTGCCCAGAGTACAATCCTCTAGAGTCTTCCAACCTTCAAAGGGTCGGTAGTTTGCTGGACTTTACGTTTCGCCCACGTTTGGATTCGTCTGAACTCGAAATCGGGTTCCGCTTTTTCCTACTTGTAGCTAGGGAATCCATCTATCCAACCATGATTCTCAACCCGTTTTCGAGCTAAATCGTTTCCTCACGGGACTTCCGACCTGCACACTAAAAACAAGAAGAAAAACGATAAAATGCACGAAAAACACATAAAAAGCCAAAATAGAATAAAACACACAATAAACTATAAAATGAACTAAAAATCATATAAAAGACCTAAAACGGGGGAAAAAACACAAAACAATAACGAAAAACGTAACAAAAATTGTCACAACACATCTCTAAACCGAGTCATCCGATGACTCCATACAAAGTTTGGTTTTTGTACAGACAGATGCATATTCGTTGTTTATCATACGCACCTGTAGAATTGTGACATAATTAAGTAATTAATTTAACAAGAGAAATCAGTATTTGAAAAAAAAAATCTAGTGATATCACCTAAAATTTGTTGGGAATATACTGGGTATGTTGGTGTTGTATCACCTAAAATTTGTCGAATATACCCACTTTACTCGCTTTCTAAGTTTTATGTAATTAAGATTTTCATCACTAAGCTTGCTAAGAGCTTGTTTATAATTTTTGTCATATAGAAATATGATATAATAATTGTCATTTGGCACATGCGTTTTATGTCTGATCATTTATATAATTTTAAAATAGATTGGACAAGTCTAAGATATCTCGCTTTACATTCATCATTTTTATTTACTTATTCTTTGTTAATAATTTATGTTCTAACTTTCAAACATGGGCACAATTCCAGTTCTTTATAATCATATCACACTTTTATCTTTATTTTTAATTGCTTCATTATTGGTTAATAATTTATGTTCAACTTTCAAACAAGGGCACAATCCCAGTTCCTCAGGCATTGGAATGTCGCGCGATATTAGTCAGTTTGACCATCTAACAAGTACAAAAATGAAATTTAAATTTCATGAAATACTCTAAAATACTCACAAAAAAACAATTCAGCCTTCTTCTTATACTCTCTTGTCCGCTATTAACCCATTCCGCAACTGGCGGAGCCGGTGTCAGGTTTTCTTTTTAATTACATTTTGATTTTTTATTTTTCTTTTTCTTTTTTCTTTTTTNGTCTAGATTTGGGTTCCGACTCTATTAAATTTAACTAGTTATTCGATTGAATTGAAGTTTTTAAATTTGAGAATTTATATATGTGGATATTGTTTTGCATTAGGATGGGGTGATCACAAAGTATATTCTATTAGGTTTGAGGAACGGAAGGTTTATTCTATTTAGTATTTTTATTTTCTCTGTGTATTTTCTTTGTGTATTTTATTATATTGGATATTTTTTACCGTTAAAGATACAACACTCCATTTTTGTAATGTAAATGGTTCAGGGATGGGCGGTTCTGAACCACACCCAGAACTGTATCCTCCAACGATCATATTGATTAAACTGAGCTTTAGATCAATTTGACTGTTGAGATCCAACGACCAGATTTCATTTGAACCGTATGAATCGTGGGTTCGACCCTGAACCGACGGTTCAATAATTAAAAAAAAATCTGAAACCAAATTCTATAAATATAACATTTAAATACACTACAAGAATAATCATTTTTATTGGTGATAATTTTTGTCGTTGTTTGTTCGAATGTCGTCACAAAAAATACCGTCGCTAATAATGTCGCTATATGTTCGAATGTTGTCACAATAATCATTTTATAGTCATGACATTAATGTTGTCACTAAAATTACTGTCGCTAATAATGATTATTCTTGTAGTGATACTAAATAATATTCAACACAAAACAAACAAATACAAAATATATCGTTCCGGTTTTAAGCCTGACCCATAATCGAAAAATAAAAATATTTTTTAAAAACAATTGTTAATAATAACACTGTTTGTCGGGCCGATTTTGAACCGGAATTGCCGATTCACAAAAATTAATTTTATGTGAACCTGAACCGGCTCGGGTAAGACCACATGTCGATTCAAAGTCCGCGGTCAACAAGTTTGACCAAGTTAGTTTCAACTGGTTCTGTGGGCCAATTTGAACGTGGACATGTCAAACTATGAGATGAGCGTGAGTATCTTTTCCTGACCCGACGACGACACTTGCACTCGCGTACTGAGCGAACATGTTAGCGGCAAATGAAGTCACTCGCGACCTAAGCGAAAGTGTTCGCGGGAGCGAACAAGCAGGGACGCAAGTGTGCAGTGCAGGCGCGCTGGGAAGGGACGCGCGCGAGAATACCGGGCGAGGCGAGGCCGTGTGATGCGCGCAGGCGTGCAGAGCAGACACGCAAGGAAGACCCGAGGTCTCCGGGCACGCGGGTCTGGGCAGCAGGCCAGGCTGACAGTCCGAGGTGATCACGCAAAGTCGCAGACGGGGAGTGAAGCTCAAGCAACGCCGCTGGCTTGTGGATCAAGAAGGCTCGGGAATTTTCTAGAAGGTGGTTGGTTCCAGATGCTTGGGCGATTTTATTAGCTTAAATAAAAATGAGTTTATTTATTATTTCCATAGATTGTTTAGGAGTCTTATTATTTGGTAATTGTTAGGGGAGGGATATTTATTTAGTCTAGGATAGATATTTAGTTTCCTTAATCTATATATATATAATAGCTAGCTAATCCCATTTAATAAAACATTTAATAAAAATATTTTCACTTTCCCTCCAAAATAAGTTACATTTTTGTTTAATTAATTATTCATTAATCTCACATTTAAGAAGGTTTTTCATAGTTAAATTTAATTAGTTAATGACTAAATTAAAAAAATTTATTTTAATTAATCCCACATTTATGTTAAGTACAGTATTATCTTAATATCTTATCAGTTTTTCAAAAAAATAGTAACTTTTTTCAATAAAATTTTATAAAAATTAGTCAAATGTGCTTATATTCATATAAATCAGAAAAAAAATTAAATCTTAGATATATAAAAAGAACATCGTTGAAATAACTTGAATCCGCAAGGGTAATTCTATACTCATTATCAATTACTTTAAATTTTAAATAAAAAATTAATATTATATTTACTCATTTATATTTAGATGGTATTTTTTTTTATTAAGAAGCAAGGACAATCTCTATCAATCAATAAGAGTCAAGAACAAACAATATAAAGAAGTGTTTCCTATACTATGACATGATCAATAAGAGTCAAAGACAGTCTCTGTCGCACGTCGGCTTACTACTGAAGAGCTCTGCATTTAGTCATGAGCAATTATACGTGGCGCTTTTTAGAGTTACGAGTCAGTGGGGTTTGAAGATTTTGATTTGAGCTGAGGGAGATTTTGACGATAGAAAAACCACGACGTTGTTTTATAAAGAAATGTTTAAGAATATTTATATTTTTTTTCTTAATTTTTTTCAATGAATTTGTTATGATTTTTACTATTGTTTATAATTTTTATTATTTTTTCATGTATCATATAGTTTTCCGTGCAAATGCACGGAACAAAAACTAGTTTAGAATTATAGTTCTCATAGGTTTAAATTTATTTCTAATCTTTAAATACAATGATATATTCAAGTTTTCATATGGATAATAGTTAATAAGAAAATTGTCCATCTGGGCACAAATATCGTGTTAGAACTCTTTTTGAGTTTTATCACAAAACTGTGTTAGGCAAAGACCAAAATCCGAGTTTTTTACATCCTATCGCGAAGTACGAAGGCGTTGACATGCTTTTTAGCAACTTATCATGGAGAATCAAAGCGGATGGCGCGAGTTCATAGCAAAACTAAGTTAGGGAGATACTCTATCTTCATATGCCGCCGAGTTCGCCGAGATCGTCTTGGAGCGCCTAGGTGGACCGACTTTTTTAGGCAATTCATGCAAATTGAAATCGAGCAAGTAGTGTCTAGCACCTAGGCCAATTTTTTAATACAGTGCTGTTTTCTCATCTAAATATAAAAAATAATAATAAAAAATAGGTAAAAGAACATACGCGAGGACAATTTCATCCATTCAGCAGCTTCGTGGTTTATGGCCCCTCATTAATTACGTCAATTCCTAATATAATTACGAGCTGTCCAAAAAAATGACCATAATTTGGTACTTTTTTTCTTTCAAAATTTAATTTTGAAAAAAAAACAACTAACGCCAATCAACCGTTGTAATTTTACTGTTTTCAAGTTGATTTCCATAACAAAACAAAAAACGAAAAAAGGGAAAAAGAAAAAGCAAAAAGTAAGCCGGAATTTTGCTATCCAAAAACTAAATTGTAAAGGCAAAACGAAAAATGAAAGAAAAACACAAAAGAAAGCAAAAAGTAAGCCGGAATTTTGCTAAGAATAGCCGGAATCACGCCAGCGTCAGAGCACATTGTAAGATACTTCCCTTTTTTTTTTTTTTTTTTTGTTCGGTTTTTCCTGCTGTTGGGTTGTAATTTTCGCGGTCTCAGTGCAAAACCGCATTAAGGTCCATTTTTGTAGTAGGTGTTTGTAAATAGTAATAAAGCAAGAGGATAACAAATAATTAATCTAAAAAAAGAAAAAGTGAAAAACGAAAAACCAAAACCAACCCCTTAAACATGAAGGCCTGAAAATAGCTTCTATAAAAGAGACTCTCTCTCCCTCTCCCTCTCCATCTTCACATTTCCTCTCTTTTCTTTTCCTTTCTTTTGCATTAATCCATACCTGCATTTTCTAAGCTAAGTGACCCACAAAAAAAAAATAATTAAAAATATATAGTTTTGCATTTTTCAATTTTATTTTGATATAAAAAAGGGATTGATCAGCCTGTGTTGTGCTCATTTCTTGAGGCCCTTTAAAGGGTTTTTGAGTTTGAGTTCGTATAAAGGGTCACATTTTGGTAAAAATCCTTTCTTTCTTTTTTCTTGCTGCAGATTATATAGTGAAGTGTGTTGTTCTCTGACATTTCATCTCTGCTGCTACCATTTGATTTTTGCGTCCCTCAAAAGCAAAAACAAAACACCCAAAAGACAAAAACTTGCACTTTTAGCAAAGGCAACAAAAGAAAACCTTATATATATATATATATACTGTCCAAACAGATCTCCATTTTACCTGTGAACCTTCAAAACCTTCCCCTGTTTTCCTCTGTTTCTTGCAAAATCCCCTGTTTTTTAACAGAGGATTTTTGTTTTCTGTACATTTTCTTTGTTTTTCTACATTTTTCAACAAAAAATGAACCATCTTTCCTCCACGAGCCTTCTTCCCGAAACCTTTTCGGGTGCTCGGGACGATTTTACCGAGCAATTTAGCGTCATATGGGGCCAAATCAAGGCACCATTAATTGTGCCATTGCTTAAAGTTGCAGTTTTTTTGTGCTTGGCAATGTCTGCCATGCTTTTCGTCGAGAGGGTTTACATGGCGATCGTTATATGCCTAGTGAAAGTGTTCGGAAAAAAACCCGAAAAACGGTACAAATGGGAGCCGCTAAAAGATGATTTGGAGATTGGAAATTCTGCATATCCAATGGTTCTTGTTCAAATCCCAATGTACAATGAAAAAGAGGTCTGTTTTTAGTGTGTTTTCTTGTTTTTTTTTTTTTCAAATGTGTGATTCAAGTTCTTGAAATTAAGGGCTATTTTTTTATTTTTGGTATATAGGTTTATCAGCTCTCAATTGGAGCTGCTTGTGGGCTTTCTTGGCCTTCTGATAGAATCATAGTTCAAGTTCTTGATGACTCAACAGACCCCATAATCAAGGTATAACAGTTCAATTAAAAAAAACAAAAAAAAGATCATGGGTTTCTGTATGAAATATTGTTAACTAACTATGCAATCAAATTTTCTTGTTTTGTGTGCCTAGAATATGGTGGAAATGGAGTGCCAAAGATGGGCTAGCAAAGGCATAAATATCAAATATGAAGTTAGGAACAATAGAAATGGGTACAAAGCTGGGGCTCTTAAAGAGGGCCTTAAACACTCTTATGTGAAGCAATGTGATTATGTTGCTATATTTGACGCTGATTTTCAGCCCGAGCCCGATTTCCTCTGGCAAACGATACCGTTTTTAGTGAACAATACGCAGCTGGCCCTCGTCCAGGCCCGGTGGAAATTCGGTAATTTTTTATTTTATTTAATTATTATTATTATTATTATTATTGCATCAAAAAGATTTTCCATTTGATTGCTTAGAGTTTTTGTCATTATGTGAAGAAATTGGTTATCACAATCCCGTGTTACTTAATCAGTCCTAAGAAAGATTTTGTAGTTATTATTAAGACTGTCGGTGGCAATTTTGAAAGGGACTGTGTAACAACTATCCAACAGCACAAATCACTGCTTGATTTGTGGTTTTATTTTGTTTTTTGAATTAATATTTGGGCATGTGTTGGTGCAAATTTGTTGTGTATCATTTATTATTGTTATGAAAAAAAATTGCTGCAAAATAGATGAAGACCATAGGATTTTCCTTGACCTGTAAACATCTTTGAAGGAAAGTGATAATTTCCAGGTTTATTGTGCTGTTGTGTGAGGAAAGTTGTTTTGTCCATACTCTGCAAATGAAA